TATATATATATATATATATATATATATAATATGGAATTCAACCCACAATCTCCTCTGAAACCCCACTCCACCCGAACCCTCCGATGCTCTAAAAGGTCTTAGGCACTACTTGATTTTCATTTAAAGAAAAATACGCTATTGGTAATTAAGTATTTCTTACCACAAAAATATCATAATATGACGTAACTCGTGTTGATTTCGTTGATCTAATATTGCTTGAGACATACATTATGAAGAAAATTTATGATTCAAACCCATGGTTTTGATTATGCTACAATGTTTTTCTCTCACAAAAAATTTGAATTTCAAAAGTCATAATCAAAATCACTAGTTTAATCTTAGTATGGACTCATGAGCCAAACAGGCCTTCAAGTACTTTAAATTTGATAGTCTTATATTAATAGTGTTAAAGAGAGCTAAAGCATAAAATAATAATAATAATAAAGGGTTAATGGTATATTGATACATTGCGTATATAGTAGGACTCAATTTGTTTAGTTTTTGTTAATAATGTTCTTTTACTAACATAAAATGTGTGGTAATGCATTGTCTAATGGTAAATGATAATGCTAACCATTAATCATTCAATTAGTTACACAAAAACGATGTGAAATATGATGGTCTGATCTATATAGAATGGTATGTGTATTTTTTGAAAGGCGGAAAATCTATATATTGAAAAGTCAGATTAAATTAAAATTAAAAATATTTTAATTTAACAGCAAATGATGAAGAAATTTGGCCCGTTCAGTTCGATAATTCGAGTTTTTAATTCAAGTTAAGATGTTACTTTATGTGAGTACTTTTTACTGTAGCAAAAAAGTTAGATGTGATTGATTTTGAGAGCTTTTTACGGTAACAAAATTTGAATTCTAAACTCAAATCGGTGAAATGAACAGAACATTAAAGTTTATTTTGTGGTCAACAACAAAAATCTCCTAACTAAATTAATTTTTTGTTTTTTTAGACAGCTAACAAATATGTTGGGTTTAGATTTTTACGCTTGTCAAAAATGTATTAATTAAAAGTAAGAAATAAAAAACTAGATTCATGCGCTTTGAGATTTTTTTTTTCTTTTTCTAAATGATCTAAATGCCATATATTTGCTAAAGAAACGATTTAACTATAGCCACGAGGTGTCACGAGCGCCTTGAGAGATTGGCAGCTTAATTATTGTCCTTTAATTGTAATTTCAAAATGTAAAACGGCGGAATAATTTCATGTAAATAGGAAAAACAAATCAAAACAAAACAAAACAAAAAAAATTTCACGCGTTTGTATGATGAATGTATCCAAAAACTATATGATCTATCTCTCTCCCTGACACAATTCCTCGAGGCAACTTGGTATAAAATAATATATAATTTGATTTCAACCCACTTGCGCTTTTTGCACATAATAATGGATTATTTAGGCCTTTTTAATGATAATGACGCATCCGCCTTCTCCATAAATCAAATTTTTATTGTGCTTAAACGCTCATATTGAGTAATACTCCTACATACAGAGAGGAAGAGCTTAAGAGAATTATATATATCAAGAGAGATATATATATATACACACACACACACACACACACACACACACACACACACATATATATATATATATAGATAGAGAGGGAGAGAGAGGGAGAGAGAGAGAGAGAGTAATGGCCCTAGAAACTGTGGTTTTTGAACAAGATCCATTTAGTTGTAGTCGTAAGGATCTTCAATATGCCTTGGGAGGAGGAGGTACAGTTCTTCCTTGGAGCTATGAACATGACTACGGAGAAGACGACGTGAAGAATCACAACAAGATCCTAGTACACAACATTAATACTTGTGTGGGACAAGGTTCCAACGTCATGAATGCCAAGTACTTGGACTATTGTACTTCATCTTCTTCAATGGTGCAGAGCGTTAACAATAATATAAATAATGGTGATATCCGAGACGCCAAAATTTCGCCGGCAGGAACTTCAACAGCTGCGGCAGCCACCGTTGGCCGACGAAAGCAACGTCGTACCAGAAGTGTCAAGAACAAGGAGGAGGTCGAGAATCAGCGGATGACCCACATCACCGTTGAACGCAACCGGCGGAAACAGATGAACGATTATTTCGCCGTTCTCCGATCCATGATGCCTTCCTCTTATGTCCAAAGAGTATGACTACTTCTCTACTATTCTTTCTTATTCGGGCACTCCTATTTTTTTCTGATAGGATTAAAACCCCATACTCACATAAATTGGGAGCCGTTAAATAGGTAGGTGGGGCCAAACCTAATTAGACTTTTCATTTTGTGAGTGATACGATTTTATCGCCTGATGTATCGGCTTTAATTTATCATCTTAATATGTTTTATATGATGATGCAGTACTTTCAGTTAAGCCTTTTCATTTAACAAGTTTTATCAACTTTTTCTTAATTTGATTTTACTTTTTGGGACTTATTTCTATTGATCGTAAGGGACAAGGATCAAATCTGTAACTTTTTTTGATAAACATAAAGTTTAGAAAAAGAGCTAATTATTCGATTTGATATTGGAACTATAGAAATCCATCTATACTTATAGCTCCATGTATCTGCCATTCAGTTAAGATCGTGGCTATATCTTAGTCTTTGAACCCGTTGTTTTGCGGCTTTTGAAGCATAGTTCAAATTTTTTTGTAGCAATATTTTCTCTTAAAAAATTTTTAATTTTTATTCAAAACTATAAATCAAATGGGCCAATTGATTCAACATTGATTTATGAAGGAACTTGAACAATATATTCTGCTAAGTAATCTTGTGAATTGATAGTACTTTTTATTGATGTTGTTTTAACTCGCTTTTGTATTATATAGGGAGACCAAGCATCAATAGTAGGAGGAGCCATTAATTTTGTGAAGGAACTTGAACAACTACTCCAATCCTTAGAGGCCCACAAACGAATCAATCAACATGAATTAGATCATTCTACTGTCCCTTCTCTCTTTTCTGATTTCTTCATCTTCCCTCAATATTTGACCTTTTCGGTCAACAACAAATCAGTTACGGAACCGAAATCAACGGCGGAGAAGCGATGTGCTATAGCCGACGTTGAAGTGACAATGGTGGAAAGCCACGCCAACATAAAAGTGCTTTTGAAAAGACATCAAAAGCAGCTCGTGAAGATGGTTGTCGGATTGCAATTTCTGCGCCTTGTGGTTCTTCACTTGAATGTCACTACCGTAGATAGTATGGTTCTTTACTCTTTTAGCGTCAAGGTTAGTTACAAAATGTTGCTTGCTTTTGTTTATTTTGCAGTTTTTATTTATTATTATTATTATATATATATATATTTTACTTTAGATAACCAATATATAGTATTTGTTTTTCGCCCGTTTAGCAGGTAGGTTCAAATCGAAGTTTAAATAAAAATTCAAATTTTTATAAAAGAAAAACACGTAAGTTCAAATCAAAGTTTAAATGAAAATTTAAATTTTTGTAAGAGAAAAAATTATATAAAAAAGTTTAAATTGTGATTGAACCTGTGAAAGAAACTGAGGGGTTTGTTTTTGCTACTGAACCAATATGGGATTTGTGCTTTATAATGTGAAACAGGTTGAAGATGACTCTGAGCTGACGTCAGTGAATGAGATTGCAGCTTCTGTGTACGAAATGGTGGGTAGGATCCAAGAGGAAGCAGATTTGATTAGCTGATGTCCATAATCTGAATTTCTCAAGTTGTTTTGGCAATCTATATGTATGTTTTTCTTGTCCATCTTGTTGAGGAAAAAAAAGGTGCTAGAAGAATTAAATTGACTAAGTGCTGGCTCCTTTTCTTTCGTAAGCATTATGTTTTGTGGTGTTTTTTTTTTTTTTTTCGCC